TTTAGTCAGAACTCTCCACTATGACCTGTCCGTCTTGGGTGTCCCTGCACAGCATAGCCCATAACTTCTCTTTGCCATGACAAGGCAGCAATCCGTGAAGGGGATTTTTTACTAATACTAATACTAATACTAATACTAATACTAATACTAATACTAATACTAATACTAATACTAATACTAATACTAATACTAATCATCATCTTAGAAATAATATTTCACATTAGTCCTCCCTTTCTATTATTTCCTTTCAATACCTGACTGTAGGTTATCTAAATGTGATTCTGCAGCTAAACTTCTTGGAGAGAAGATTTGTATTTTCTTAACACTATTCTATAAAAAGAGGAGAAAGAGGAAGGAAGAGGAAGGAAGGGGAAGTATCAATGCATCAAAACTCCTTCTGTAAAATGATGACAAGCCAAAAGGCAGCAAGACTATTTAGTAGCCCAGGGAACTGGTCAATGCATCAAAACTCCTTCTGTAAAATGATGACAAGCCAAAAGGCAGCAAGACTATTTAGTAGCCCAGGGGTTTAGTTTATTAATTAGAGTACTGTATATTCTGTTACTAACCTCACTAAGGGCATGGCAATGGAGACATCAAATAAAATGTTACAGAGAAAATAAGGTTGTGGCAGCAATCTAATATGTACGTTTTGCTGGCAAAATCTAATCTTTCATGCCTCCCCCTTAACACTGCATGTCAGTGAGGGGCATGCTCTTCCTCTGCTACTAAACTTAGAGTTTCCATCTCATGCTTTAGAGCAGTGGTCCCCAACCTTGGGCCTCCAAATGTTTTTGGACTACAACTCCCAGAAGCCTTCACCACCACCTCTGCTGGCCAGGATTTCTGGGAGTTGAAGTCCAAGAACATCTGGAGGCCCAAGGTTAGGGATCACCGCTTTAGAGTCTTTGGGACAGTCCCATCTATCCTGCGTCTTTCCAAGGTTGGGGACCACTGCTTTAGAGTCTTTGGGACAGTCCCATCCATCCTGCTTCTTCTGTTAGCCACCTTTCCTCTCTCCTCCAATTTCTGCTCCCCAAAGACAGACATGTGGCGATGTAGCGCCACTATATACATATAAGAACAAAGCCACAAAATCTAAGTAAACGTTTTTTGTTTCCTTCCACCAAGAAGAATCCAGGCCGATCCCTTTTCCAAGGGATAGGATAAGACTGAGCAGATCTCGCCACATTTTTTCTTTGCACTAACAAGGGAATAAACAAATTCCCAGTCCGTCCAACATTTTCTAAAAAGCAAGTCTCACGGAAATAAGTAAAACATACCTCCAATTAAGGGTGGTAGTAATCCAGGAAGCTAATTTTTAAAAATACTTAGTTGCTGCTTCAGCTAAAGTTGCAAAGCCCTCCAAAAGCAGTTCATTAGCATCACTAATATGAATCTAAAAAGCATTTCTTTACTTTTCTGTTTCTTAGTAATAACTGAAACAATCATGTTTTAGCTGTGTTTTAAAATAAGAAGCACTAAATTTCTCAGAGTGCTGCCTTGTGGAATGAAACACACCCTCCTCCTGTTCATTTCATTTTCCCCTCCTGAGTATAAAAGTAACTAAAAAGTTATAGTTATATCACAAAAAGAATTACACTATCCTTTGTTAAGTTACAATCTTAGACCTAAATTAGGTGCTGAGTTTCAATTTAATGACGATAACATGTCTAACTCTGATTTGGATTTAGGCCTTAATATCATTAATTCCTGAGGAAAGGAACTAATTACAAGTAATGTGTTGTCTATAGCCAATCACTTCCAAATCCTGAACATATATAGCATCAAGGATAAATACTTTGTAACACTATGCCCAAAATCCTTCTGTGTACCTCCATCTGTGCAACAGAAATTATAACAGCAGCAGCAGCACACGGCTGTTGATTAAATGCTACCTTTTGTGATTTTGGGTGTGCACAGCTTAGACACAATGCGGCTAAGTAACATGCAACCCAAAATCACAAAAGGAAGTCTTTAATCGCCAGTAATCTGCCCCTGCTAGTGACATAATTTTCTTTATCCAGGCAGATGCTTCTCAACAGGATTTCAGCTTATTGCTAGTGACATAAATACTATTAATTATAGTATCATTGTGTAGCCATAGTCTTTGGACATCATAGGATATAAACCTACTTTTATAATTTAAAAAAAACTAGTTCAGGGAGCCAAAAATACTTGAACTTCTGCCAGCTCTTCCACATGGACTTCAGTGGGACTGAAATTGGTATATATCCATGAACTTTCTCTTAATTGGGTTGTAGATCAAGCTGTTGTTTTAACTCTCACTTTTAGCCAAATATTTTTCAGAAATCTATATGCAATATGAAAAACTAGTACAGCTTCATTTAACTGGACATTTTGGAAGCATTTGTGCAGCCACAGATCCATAGTGTACATAGCAGTAGGAATATAAACCGTATGAATATATTAATGCATGTTAAAGTACTCTGGATTTGTGAATGACAGGCAGTCACCCCCACATTAGTACTGTTGGTTAACGCCTATGATTTCATTCTGTTTAGAAAACAAATTCAACTAAACACTTGCTCTCAGTGCAAAATTAGTTTTAAATTAATTGTCCTATTGAGTTCAAAGGGACTTAAATGCACTTTACATTCTTCACATCACTATTACGCATGAAACTACTTCTGCAGCAAAATATCTAGCTAAACATGCTGTTAAACTGACATGTTTCTATACACTGGCCTTTAAAAATTATATACAGTATCTATTTATATATAACTTTCATATCTAAAATAATATTGCAAATTGATAATTGCAGCAGGTGATTCACAAAATGTTTAGATGTGGTTCTAATAGTATTTATATATTGAAATAGATGCATGCAATAATTTCTGCAACTCTTTCTTGTGTTATCTGTCACTAAAAGTGAAATTTTATTATTAGATATATTGGAAGCATTAAAATGAAACCAATAATATAGAGAAATATATTAATATTCCACTACTTGTTTGTTTTTGTGGATTTTCAAATTTGGACATATTTTCTATTCTGAAGGAAAAATACCAAAATATCATGAACTTTGATGCAAAATCCTGTTGGGAGAATATGAAAGGAAGTTGCATAACAGATGTACCATATAAAAGAATCTTCAGGAACAGCTCTGTGGTGGAGCCGCATATGTCCCAAATTTCTATTTAGAATCACTGAGAATGTATCCCTCTGCAATGTTTATAAAAGGCAGTATTTTCATTTACAGTGAGGTAGACAAGGGTAGAGTCAGAATGTGACTCCAGACATAAATTATGGTTTACTTCTTCATTCTTAGCTCTTGTTATGAATATGGCTTGTGCCTTAGCAATTCGTATAATGATGGACAAAAGTTGCAAAACCATCTGCAAACCATCTGCCTTGGAGCAAAAAAAAGGTGAGCTTAGATAGAACTTCCATGAAGTATATGGTTTGCTGGTCATAGGCAAATTGTCTTTCAAGTCTCCCATAAAATATGCACTTCTCTTTCGATGTGGTGGACTACAATTATTCACACTAGGCTAGTGATTGCTTCTTGAGAAAAGCAGTAATTGACACCCCATTCATAAGATGGCTGTTCATGCACTGGAGAAAAACAAATTATAAAACCTCCACAGTGCACCATCTGACTCCCAGGTATGCTGGGCTTCCAAAGTATTTTGCACAATTAATCATCCTGCTGCATAAGATTTAATAAACACACTGTGCAGGTCAATAAATTGGAGAACATAACAGTTGCACTACAAATTTTATCACACTTGTTTATAGTAGCAGATTCATTACTGGTTTGTCCAGTTCACTTTCAGTAAATCAATAAGAAAGACAAAAGATCTGTCTACAAAAACATGACCACTTGGTCATCCTAGACTAGGCCTTCCTCGTTTCCCAGTCCACGTTCCTTCGTTTGGGCTTTGCCATACTCTGCACTAAATTACAAATACATTTTTCAGTTTTGCTACTAGCTGTCATATTTGAGAGTATTGGAGTCTATGAGAATAGACAGATGGAAATTCAGGACAAAAGACTGATTCTGCTGTGAGGATAACTATCCATATGCTGATCCTAAGAGGTTCCTTCTACTGTTCTCTATGCACTCAATATTATGTAAAAACCAGACCACAAAAATGAATTGTACACATATGAACAGCCTTGTGTCTAACCCAAAATAGTCCTGCTCCATTTCAGATTAAAATAACAAATGTATCTTTTGTACTGTCCAGAAGATCCTTACCTGTTAATTGAGCTAACGCTGGGCACTGTGTCGTTATCACATACTCTCTCTGCTAAAAGTCGGTCCCTGATTTCCCAGGCAAACATGGTGGGGTTTTGGCGTTTATATTCTGCAATTTTTTCTACTACTTTCGGTGTGGCGACCTTTGGTTTTGACCCCCCAATAACTCCAGGCTTAATGCTTCCAGTCTCATAATATCTAGGGTGGAATTCAGGATAGAAAAACAAATTTACAGTTAGTTCACTGAAATGCAGATTCAGTGGTTATGATCACAATTTACTCTAATAATGTGGACTTGCAGTAAAATACAAATCATGAAAAACAAGCCAAATAATTTAAGTTTCATAAAATTTAACTGGAGAGATGATAATATGTCCTTAATTTTTCCCCTCAAATAAAAAAAGACATAAAATGCTTTTGTCGAAATCACGCCTATTCATGCCCTATTTCTTTTTCAAAATTTGCTATTATCTTATATATTCTAAAACATAGCATTATTTTATGTATAATAATGTATTATTATCTGTGTGTTTTCCCTCACGGTAGGAATAAAATGCTTGGTGTTTAAAGGGCAACCTACAGTTGAAATATTAACTGAAAATGTGTGCTAGCAAAATAAAAAATAATAATAATAATAAAGGAAATTAAATTGGCAGCACCATTTTTATTTTTATTTTCCGCTGGTATTACTTGTGGTTTAAAAAAAACGACTGAAGGCTTGCCATGTTTTTGCAACTAAATGGTAAAATAATATTTTGAAAAGATAAGTGCAGTTAAAACAATTTTTTCATTTCTAGTTGTAAAATACAACATGAGAATATTTTAATAACTTCTACTTTTAGAGCATGTATTATTTCCTACTAAATGGAAATAATACCTCTTCTACTTTTTGAGCAGGTATTATTTCCTACTAAGTAAGCCTAGCTTGGTTATTAAGAAAGCCCATTCCTTAAGCCATTACAAATTGTTAACAAAAGTACATAGAGAATGTACCAAGCACATTTCTTATATAAGCACCAATAACATGAATACATTAGAGGAATATTTGGTAACAGGCACAGAAACCAGTGTCCAGCTATTATAAATTGGAAAAGATACAATCTGGATCTGTGGACCCGTTGGTGGCACAATGAAAAACCAGCAGAAAACCCAGTTATTTCTATACTTTCTTATAAAGCACAGTTCTAGCTGAGCAAAACCTCTATATCTAGTAACGTTAGAATTCTATGCTGTCAATCATTTTCCTACACAGAAGGCTCATACGCCCATGTAACAATAAAGTAAGAAGAATGTATGTTTTGTTCCTCATGTTAGGAAGGCACAACTAATTTTGGACTTGGCCTCTAACTATATTTCAGCGTCCATCACATTCATGAAATTACATAATCAATTTTTAACTGAAAATTTTGGAGGGGTGCTCTCTTTTTCTGGGTCACATGTTGTCATGGACTAAAAACCTTTGTTAATCAGAATGACGAGACACTGAAAGGATATTCTAGAGACCTTAGACCAATTGTACTTTGCTGTTGATTTCAGTGGAATATAGCTTGCTCACAACTAGCATTCGTTTTGCTCCTGTGCATTTTAAAGAAATGAGCTATAGTTGAACTCATGATTGTTTGAAAAATAATGGTGATGAAAAGGGGGGGGGATCAACATTTTTTATGAGTTGCCTTTCTCTTCAGGCCTTTTACACCCCCTCGTGACTATAAGGGGGTTTGATACATATGCTGTATATAATAAAATAATTAATAAGTGTATATATGACAAAACAATGCTGATCACAATTCCAAATGTTTTCATTGACTGACTCTACCACTTAATCAGCTCCTCCTGAATCCCAGCCAATTTCAGTGCACATACTTCCATTTAAGTCACTACATTCCTTAAAAAGCTAATGGAGCTATTGCACCTTTACCTGCTGACTAAGTAAGCCCATATCAACTCAGTACTTCACTGCTAACGCCACCAGTCAACATATTTATGGCGAGGGTTTAATTTTGTAATTTTAATATACATTTGTTGTTGTGCTCCATGTTCTTTTCACATCTTTTTGTGCCTCAGTAAAAGATTGTTGTAAAATTGTTACTATTAGTCCAGGCATTATGAGCCCCAAAGAGTGATCTCCTCATATAGATTCATCGTGCTCTAGATTTTTCACCATACTTCGCATCCCTTGTTGTGCTAAGTTCTTTATAAGAATATATAACCCTCTGAGACAGGTTAGCTTTATTATTCTCATATTGCAGATGAAGTGTGAGGGGCATAGAATGAGAAAGAATAGCTTGCTTTAAGCTGATGAAATCACAACCGTAGTCAGATTTAAACCAGGACCTTGCTGGTTGAAATCATCCAGTATCAAAGTCATTGCCTTATTCTATCCAGCTCTGCTAACAGTGCAGAGGCTAAGCAAGTTTAGAGTGGATCTGCCTTGAGACCTTTACATTTTGAGAGTAACTCAAAAGAGCAGTGACATTTCTAAGAGATGTAGGTAAACAGGATTCTGCATTGAACTCCCTTTTGGACGTCCAACAGTCTAGCAAAACAAGCGGATCTTATTATCCCAATTGCTGAACAATCTAATAAATAACATGGTTCTTATTTTCTTCTAATGCCACAATAATTAAGTTTCCAGATTTCCACATGAGACCAAGGAACAAGTAATAATTTCCTTTGTGCAATGAACAATCACCCTAACATAAAACTTCATCACAAAGAAACTATTTTCCTCACAATCTCTAACCTTGAACGGAACGCCCTCATCTCTAATCCATAACAGAGATGAAGGTAGTCAAATGACACTCGGACTTGTCCTGGGATCTATACTATATGACAGTAGAGGACCCCATCAACAGGAGTGTGCTTATTCATCGGTGCCAGGAGCTACATCGTCGTAGCTCAGCCACAAACAAGTGAATATGAAAACAATTTGTTATTGTTGGCGGCTTGGCATGATTCACAGTTGTCATTTTTATTTTGTATCAAGGTTTAATTTAAAATGTTATGAATTAAGGAATATGCCTTCTAAAAATGTAGAAGCAAGTTTATTTTCTGTGAGTTCTCTTAATTGTTTTACACACACATACACAGAGAGAGAAAGAATAAAAGAGGGACCACTCCAATTACTGGGACATTTTACCAACTGTAATTATTAGTTATGAAAATAATGAGCTATGAAATTCCAATTTATTGTTGACAACTTAAATGACAAAGCTCTGGAACTCAGTTCTTAGCTCCATAGTAATGCAAATATATCTTGTGACAAATCTATTCAGATACATTAAAATTGTTAGATATTCCCTCTTGTAGGTGAATGAATCACCTGTGCATTATATTCCCTGGAACTGATACCTTCTTAGGCAATCTTCATGTTGGCTCTGTGTCTGTGTATGTGTGAGAGAGCGAGTGCGTATGAAATGTCCAAAACGTCATTGTTGTATTCAATAAATAGCAATTACACCAAATTCCAGAGAAATCATACAACATTATAATGGCCTGATATAGGATCACAAATAAAGTTGAATTTGGGGGGGGGGTGATCACTAATTGCCTGCTGGTGTTAATACTACTAACAGGGGTTTCCTTCAGTTTTCTATTTAGCTTCTTTTAGAAGATCAAATGCATTGTAGTGGTTAAGGCTGTACTCCCAAGACTGCTTACTCAACAATGTTCATCCCAAAAGCAGCTGAACATTTCCAGTATAAAGGAACTTTTAAGATTGTGGCTTGTCTTCTTCTCTACACATTACAGTATAAAACAAGGACTGATTCAATTTAGTCCATTAAATTGGAATTATATCAAATAGATGTTCAATAAAAAAAGATCCAGGTCTACTTTTATCTGTTTGCATTCTCTAAAGCCTGGCATTGACTCTCAGGATTTCACAATGGCATACAGAATAAGGCAGTACAGCAGATTTATGAACACAGGCCACAATGATGAACAAGAGTCAGAGCAAGACGGTTTGTTTTTTAATATAAATAGGAAAGGTTTTGCATTCATCGTTGTGTAGTTCAAGAATGAATGGTATCCTTATAGAAAGGAATTGCAGTTTACCAAAATTACTTTCTATCAGAGTTCTGTTCTAATTAGTGTAAAACCACACAGCTCCAGAAGAAACATTTTTAAAACATTAGTAACTAATATTGCACTTAGAATAATATTAGTTACTAATGTTTTAAAAGAAGAATTGTGAGTAGTTTTTTTAAGTGAATTTACAACCAGAAGATGTAGAAGTGAACATTTAAAATGTTTATATGCTGGGGGGGGGGTGGAATCTGTGACACAAATGTAGTGATTCTATCCTATTTCATCCTATGAATTTACCCAGAAAGAAATTCTGCTTTTTTCCTGCAGAATTTACTTTCAAACAAAATGTTCATATTTCCTTGAGTTGTCTGTTTCCTCTCCCTCAGTCCCAAATACCTTTGGAATCCTCTAAATAGGTAACCTGCTTTTTCTATTTGTTGTTTTTGTTATGTTTTGAAGGGGGGGTTCACTGTAACATAGGAAACATTTAATTTTTTTGTTTGAAAGGAAATCTCGTGGAACAAAGCAGGATTTGTTTCCAAATAAATTCATAAGGTGGAACAGGATAGAATTAAGTGCATTCTATGAAAGCGAAGGGCAAATAAAACGTCTTAGACTTGAAGGTACCAAAGGCCTTTTTGTTTTGCTGCAACAGACTAACATGGATGCTCTTCTGAAAGAACCTTTTACAATCTTGAAAGATAGCAAATCTATCATGGCATAAAGTTTCTGTGTAAGAGGCCTAACTGTGGCAGAAGGCAGAGCAGCTGGTTAAAGAACTCATATTTTTGCAAGAGGAAATATCCGATAACTGTGATGTATCCCTGTATGTCACTTTTTAAGGTATCTGGACAGTTTGTCTAAATTAAAAGAAAACTTGAGTCATCATATCGCACTGGATGTTAACAGACATGATGCACCTGCTGTCATACCATTTCTTGACCTTCGTCTATACTCTATTATTGTTTTCATTTCTAATGTACCTTTCCTAGGTTGATTAAAGCATCCCTATACAGAACAGATGACTACACCTAAAGTACAAAATGTTAAATTATTAATTGTTATAGTATCCCTTATTTTATACTTTCAATATAGTTTTATCACAGTAAATACTTTATTGTTTATCATATCAGAAGAAACACTATGGTCGCTATCCAAGATGTTTTTACATTGACTGATTCCAGAGTTCTTAAAACATGATTAATTTGTTCTGTGAGTGTCCCTCTACAACAACTATTATAAAAATTAGCACAGAATGTTTCTCAGGCTGCAATCTTATGTCACTTACCTTGGAATAAGCCCTAGTAAGGTAAAAATAATAATAAAGCTTGAGTAAACATGCATAGAATTACTCTATTCAAAACCAAAACATACTTCCCTTCATTTAAAAAAGTGATTTTTCCCTACTACCACAGATGACTAGTAAATTTTCCAGCTAAGTCAGTAAGAAGCACATAATACGTGGCACTAAAATTACATATGCTTTGCATTTACTTTTAGGAATGTATATGTAAGACATTTTGTCGCTTTCGTTAATGCAAATGTGTGGGTTAGCCTGACATTTTTGTCATCCCAACTATTCTGCCTCATCACCACCTGAACTGTTTCTTATAACAGACACGCATAACAAAAATTAAGCACCTGGTGTTTTCTGCTTCATCAGTAAAACAGATTCACTGATTTCCTTTTACCTGCCAAGAATTTTGCTGACACAGCCATGGCTGACCCGTAGTTGCCTGGAAATGTCGCAGGGTCTGACACCTTGATGGGCAAGTTCCACAATCCTTTGGCGGACGACATCAGGGAGTGGCCGACCATTCACAAAAACACCCCCTAACTGGTTCACTCCTCCATGTCCTGAAACATATGGGAGGGAACAAAAAACAAAAACAAGCAGAGAGAAAAAAAAAGATACATCTTTGTGACGGTTTAGAAGGATGCTTTTACAGAAGTCTTGTTCCAGCTCTGAATCATCCTCTATCTCTGCCCCTAAGCACTGAACAACTTTTGACAAGAGTTTCAGCATTTCTAAAATGATGGCTATGGCTTATTTGCTGAGAGGAGGAGGAACAATGTTATTTACTGAGATCTAATTTGACACTGATAGCAATTTTACACTTGTGTAACTCTAATTACTTCAATAATTACCCAGGATTACGTAGCATGAGAATCAGGCCTCCGATTTGTAAAACCATCTCTCAAAAGTTATTTTTAAGCCAGCCCCGAAATCATCCGGTAATGACCAATCATGAATGATGGTTATCTTCTTTAAGGGATGGATCAAATGCTAAAATCCTTAGTGTGCATGCTTCTTTTTTTCAATGCCATCAATATCAAGGGGATTTTTCTCCATGTAGATGTGTTTAGGATCACAGTGCTTATTCAAATTTGTGAGGAAAGAAGGCCACAGCATTTTCCTTGTAGAAAAATTAAGGCCAGATTCATCATATTTCAAATACCCTACAGGATCTGCTGAACACTTGAATCTTGTTTCTTTCTAAATCACAGTTTAGCTAAGAAAGATTTGTAAAGATATATGCATGTATTTGTATTCTGTGTATAACAAATAAGTTCTGACGTTCCATGTAATCTATAGCAGTTTCTGAAGATATCAAAATTCCACAATGCCCAGCTCAGCCAGACTTGGCATACTGTTCTTTCTGTATGTACATTTTTACTGTTTTCTTTTAGCAAGGTGAAACATCTGTTTGGTGTGAAATGGTTTCCAGCTGGATGAATACTACCTAACTGGCTAAAATCAAAGAGCATGAAATAGCATCCTATGTAACTAAGTCAGAAAATGTAATTAATTCTCAAATTGTTAATCATGAAAACTACTCATAAAAGAAAAGTGATGATGCTAGAAACAAGTGATTGCAATTTTTTTAAAAAAAGAGCACTTGCAATAACTGAGCAAAAGTAATATTCCCTCTATTAACAGAGGGCTTGAACAGATCAGAATGAATTCAAACTGTCTCTATACTGAATCACCTATATATAAATTTGAACCCCAAAATTTTAAGTATTCATTATCTCTACATTTCAATATACTCTCTATTGATTTAAAACTCCACTTAACATTGCAGCAGAAACAATGGGGTCTGAATTCACTTGGAGAGTCATATATCTGCTGGAGCCCTTATGGAGTCTCCTGTTCCAGCATCCAACCTGGCACTAATGGACTGTTCAATGAATATGAGCAAAAGCCAACAAAAATACAGCTAGTAGATGGTGATCATTACATTACTATCCAAAGGTAGGGTTGATTGATGGGGTGAGTGAAGGGAGAGGAACATGACTTGAAATCAGGAGGAGGAATTTCTCTCATCCTGATGCATGAAGAAGAACACTAAGGGCAGAGAATATTTTAATTCTAACACTGGAGGCAAGTACTTCCAGACATAACACCTCAACTATTTTCATAGAGGACCAAAACAGCCCTACTCCTACACCAGGACCCTGTAGATGTCAATGGGCTTTAAGTAGCTCTACAATGCCCAGAACTGAAGCATAAGCAAAAAGTCCATTAAAGGTTTGTAGGACTGGCCATCTGGGTAAGAGATTCTCCAAACTGGGCACATAACTTGATTCTTTGGAGAAGTGGGGATGAGAAAATAAAGAAAAACATGCAAGAGCCAGGTTTTGGGTTTTGTTTTGTTTTTTTGTTTTGGTTTTTTGTTTGTTTGTTTTGAAAGCTGAGGGACATACGCACATGGACACAGATACACAGACGCAGAGAATCCTGATAGCCTTTTCCCAGACAGAGTATTGTCTGGCCTTCCCCTCCCTCCCTTTCCTCCTCTACAAAGGCCAGGTTTTTATCCCAAGAGAACAGAAAAAGCGACCTGAGTTCCCATTCCAACGCCATGTTAACTGGGGAGGGGAGGGCGGACTTCAGGAAAACTGCCCTCCCCTACTGAGTCCAGGGCAGGTTCCTGAACTCTTCTCCTCAGGGGGCTGGACCTGCAGTTGCTCTGTAACGTCAAAATATAACGTGTGGAAGCGGAGCTAGATAAGCAGCGAGTGAGTCCTTCCGGAGTCTCTGGTTGGCAGTTAAAAAAAAGGGCTTCGGATTTATACCGTTCATCTTCCCCGCTGGAGAAATTTATGGGACGGAAAGGGAATAACTAGTTCAAAATGAAAAAGAAAACGATCCATCCGTGGGGAAGCCGTGATGTGTGCCTTTTCTATTATAAGAGAGAAATTCTTCAGCTGCAGATTAATAGGGCTCGTTGGCTTAAAGTAAAAGGGGGGGGGGAGAGAGAGAGAGAGAAAGTGCCTTGGGAAGGAAGTGGAGAGTCCAAATCGTGTCTTTTGTCATGTTTCAAAGACCAGCCAGGACAAAACAAAAACACAGGAGAGCTCCAAGGAGGTCAGATAGTCTTTCTCAGAGTTCAGCTTAGTTCAGTTCCAGCAGGCATTGCTCTTGTTTGCTCTCCAGGGGAAGGTGGGTTTGTCTGATGTGCCGCGGATAGAGAGGCCACCGGTTTGCAGACACTTCCGGAGGCCAGCATAGCGAAGCT